CCGTTAAGAGAATAGTAGGAGGCCCTGGTAACTGTAATGCAAGACTGTATCACTTCTTGGGTTGACTGCTCCAAATGCACTTTATATAGGACTGTTATTGAAGTCTAACTGGAAGCTACAGTTGCTGAAAAAGGAAGTGGTGCCTGCCTAGTGGCAAATGAGAGTCAGCATAACCATACAGCACTGGTTTTACAATTGCTTCATTGGCTTCAATGCACTTCTGGGGACAATTCAAAGTTTAGTTTTAAGCTATAAAGTCCTTTATGGCTTGGCACTCAGGTATCTTCAGGACCACCTCCTTCAGATAGAACCCATCCCTCTGATCTGCTCCTCCAGATTTGGGATGCTGAGGTTCTCCCATATATATGAGGTTGGGGATGAGGAAGCAGAAGAAAATGCTTTTTTGCTTTTGGCTCCATCTCTTGGGAATAATCTCCTCAAGAAATTTGAATGCCACCCTCACTGATGGTCACATGCAGGTAGTTAAGATGAAGCTTTTCTTCGGAGCCTTTAATTCTTAGGAAATTGCTGGATTTCAGATGTTAGGGTGGACTGATGATTTTATAATGTTATTTGTTTTATGTCTTTATTTTTTAATTTATTTTATGTGGGATATTGTGAAGTGTCAGAAGTCTTTGTAGAGTTGCTGGTATAGAAATATAGTAAATGAAAAAAGTAAATAGGACAACTCTTAAAATACATACACAGTTTAAATAAATCTTATCACTAGCTTCACTTTAAAAACTATTAATATTTTCCTATTCTTATGGTCCAAATGAAGTTATTACAATTAAGAGATTTATTTACCACCCAGAGTCACTGGGAGTCAGGCAGCATATAAATTTAATAAATTATTATTATTTGCATATTTACTAGTTTAATTTGTATAGTTTTCCTAATCAGAAGTATATTTTTTACAGTTTAATTCATTTTGCTGAATACATTACAGCAGTGTTTCTCAACCTTGGCGACTTGAAGACATGTCTACTTCAACTCCCAGAATTCCCCAGCCACGATGGCTGGCTAGGGAATTCTG